AGGTTGGAGAATGACGAATCGCTCATGAATTTCGAAAGACCAGGATATGAAAAAGACGGTCACTGCGCCCTATTTCAGCTGATCCGATCGCCAGGCTAGAAGAAGACAGGCTTCAGCGAAGCATGCGAAAAAGGCGGGGTGACAATTCACTCGCAGAATCACTCTCTTGGGCGATTGGTTAAGCACCTTATGAACCAGTTCACTGATCTACTCCAACTCAACCTCTGGAAGCACCCAACAAACCTGAAGGGAACATCGAAAGGAGTCGGCCGTCAATAACAGAAATTCAGTGTAAGATCTCACTCCTCCAACGTGACAAGACGGTCTCCACCCAGAGAAGATAGTGAAGCTCTGATGGATAGTCTGACGACCCTACTGCGGAGTATTTTGAAGTGGAGCTCTTGGAAATCATACAGAAGCTATCACGGCATTACCTTCATGTCCAGCGTGCTATCTGGCATTATTTTGCACAGGTTGCTTTATTATCGACAGAGACGAACGCGTCAAAATCAAGCTGGGTTTCGGCCTGTCGGAGGATGCATCGACCATATTTTCACCTGAAGACCAATCCTCGAACAGCGTTACTCTTTTTAAAGTCCAGTTTGGTAGTTTTTCCCGATCTGAAAGTTGCTTTGTACTTTGTTGATCGTCATAAGCTTTGGCGATCCAAATGTATATTCCTTATGAGGGCAATGTATATAAGCTCCGGTGGATGCGTGCGAGTATACAGCAAGCTGTCGCGTGAGTTTACGACGTCCAGTCGCGAAAGAGAAGACTGTCCTCTCACCACTCTTCAAACTTGTTAATTAGCTGGTTGAAATTTCCCTACCTATTTCCGAAACGTCGGGAATCGAAATGCTCCCTGGGCGTTGGCTCACAGGCATTGAGCCTCCGGACGATATTGGTCTCCTTGGCCCTTCAAAAATGCCCTACGGTTTAGTATGCGCTGTACATCTGCAAAGTGGAATGTGCTGCTATATGATTGGATGTGATCAAACTGAAACCTCATGCTTGCGGACGGATTGATCGAAATGGTAGGTAGGTTTGTATACGTGGTCAGTTGTATAAGTTCCGGTGGGTTGACTGGAAACAAGATAACATCTGTCTGGAAGACCAGGGCAGTTTTTGCCAACCTAAGTTACCTATAACACTGGCTTGAGGCTAGTTTGTCTTCAAGGGCGGATTTAACACTGCGGTAGTGCGATCCATGCTTCATTGTGGGTCAGGAACGTGGCCTCTACGCACAGAGGACGTACTAAAGCGGTCAGTGTTTGACAAACTGTTTCTCTGAAGCATTAGTCGGTTTTGTTCGGAGCATCGGATTAGCAATGCGGAAGCACTTCAAATGGTTTTAAGAAAAAAGAACTATCCCGCGATGGATGAATTGCTCACCCTCTCTTTAAAACTTCATATGCTAGAGGACCGTCTACCTCGTAGGGCTGAGGGGGAGCGATCGAGAGGTGAACAGTCTGTCAACTGGCGGCGAAGTGTGAAAGCACCAACCAGTAACCTCAGTCGGGTTGACAGCCACTGCATCTCTTGATGAGGAAGATGGAACTACTCACCAATGGTTAATGACACTGGCAGACATCGCTGAATCACCCAGTCAGTGGTGCTCGTCCATCAAAGCTGTCGCTTTTAATACATAGCTGCCGAGTCTGCCGAGCTAACTGATCATGCCGTCTCCTTCAGTGCTTGGCTATATCTCCCCCGCTCTCCAATTTCTCGGTGCCTGAAGCTGTTGCAACTGAAACCAACGTATCCTTGGTACGTGGTTTGTAGCTGAAAAACTAACTGATGAATTTAGTCAAGAACTGACCACCGATTTTCATGTCCCTACGGAGGTTGGTTTACGGTGCTGGATACAGAATGGGTCTGTAAAATTTGGAAGTTTCGAAGACTATGTTGACTATGAGGACTGTGATTTACGCTAGAGTGATTGGACCTGGGGCGGTTGGAGGCGCCAAACATCCTAGCGTGAAGTAATTGGTGGACATCCGACTGGCAAGGCTATGGAGAACTGTCTTAAATTAGCTGAGTTTGCGCATGGTGGCATGATGTCATCTGTGAAATGGTCTTGGTCCAATGTACGAAGCTCAAACCCAATCCATTGTTCTAGCACTTCCTTACGACTTTCGCCCATAAGTCTATGAACAATACCCAGGAGAAATACAGCAATACAGTTCTTCAAACAGAAAGACGAAGGCTCAAAACCCCTATTCGAATTTATGATGGTCCCCCTATCTTTTAATGCAACCACTTCTATGTTCGTTTTTGGATGCATGCATTAAGGTCTGTTTTTTGGGTTCCCGGAGCCCAATACTGGGGGATCTGGCGCTCTTCAGAAAAGGTGCTCAAAATAGAATATGATACCTCAGAGGTGTGAAATCCTCCTAGTTGATGATGATGATAATATACTTAAGCGTTGCGAGCGTCTGGCTTGAACACCGGACCAGTTATGCTGAGGTTTCCAGGAAAACCCACCCCCTCAATAAATCAGCTGGTCACATTCAACAGGTGAAGATAGTTACATCATGCGCTTTGTAGCCAGAGGACCCTTTCCCTCGTGGAGCTCTCTTCGCCCAGCCTGGTGTCTGATGGAGACAACCCAGAGTCGATCAGTCCAAGGCTTGACAGCGAAGCATGAAATTCCCTACCAGTGAGCTCATTTGCGTCGGCAACTGCCGTCTTTCCCGATAGAGACCACAGGACGAGACAACCGAGTGGTTAGTGACCAGTTTAAGGTCCGGTAACCACCCTTTCATCGTCAGATCCCCGTTTTTAATGAAAAAGCTGAGGAGAGGCGGGTTTTCACTAGCCATGAATTCCTTGGTAGGTCTGCTTGGCTGTATAAGAAGTGAGTAAGAGGATAAGGTGAGTCGACTATTGGCTACTTCAGGAGAGTCGGTGTAACCGAAAGGTCTTCACTAGTTTAAGCTGGACATGCGTCGTACTACCACATGATTTTTAAAAAGTATATTATGTGAGGGGAGAAGCGCAATTAAACAACCACATGAAGTGAATGCTGTGGGTCAGTGTAGGGGATAAAGTCGTTAGAAGAAGTGAAGCTTCCCATTGCGTATGAATCCAGACACCTTTTAGGCCAAAAACTGTCGGACTGTGCACATTCGTACTGGAAAAATTAAGTTGACAGTTGTCATTATGAGAGCGTTGGTGCAATAGTTTTGTGTGCCGTGTTAGGTGTCCTGTTAATATAAACGTCGGTCTGCTGGAGTCACATCACTCAGCGTACAGTGTGAACCTGTCAAACCCCAAACTTCTGAAGTCGAAGCCCGCAGGGATAGTTTTGTGACTTGCGGACCAACAGCCTTGATTGCCTTCTAGCGTCTTCGCAATTCTGATGTCTTACTTCAGCCACAGGCTTTAACCTATAAATGAGAAACTTCGTACAATAAAGGTGAGGACCAAAAGTAAAGGACAACCACCCCTGATCCCTCACTTGTGCAATTTGTCCACTCGATCTGACACTAATTTATCTTCTGACAGCAGCTTACCTTTTAATGCACTTTAAATATTCTGTTCAAGTTTGGTATCTCTGATTCGAGCCTGGCGAACGATTGATCGGGTAGGTGCAAGCAGTGACCAAACTGGTGTGAGGTTTTACTCCTACAAAAAAGGATTAATAGTGTTCATTTTTCCTCTGCTGTGTATTACAGTCTTTGTCATGACTCTCGCTCTCATCGACTCTTGCAGAATTATGACCAATCATGTCATCCTCTACCAGCACTACGAGACCACCCTCGAAAGACTGTCAACTAACAACGCTTTCTGTGTTCCCATCAGTCTTTCCCCTCCGTGGTTGTTACCAGTGGAGTTCCTTACCCATCGAGGGGACCCGTCGGTCGTCCCTAGGCAGTATAACTTACGGCTAGATCAGCATCTTGTATTTCGACCATTTGGAGAGGAGGTGTATTGGCCTTATCCTCACTTCACGTCAAGTGCTTGAGCTTACCGCCGACCAGTTGTAGCGGTTTTTCTTGACTTCAGAGGAGTCTCCGTAGCTCGAATGGATAGAGCGCGAATTTACTGACCGGAAGGTCCGTGGTTCGAACCCGACCTCTGCCACTCGACTTCCCCTGTATAGGCTTGGGCTACCTGGCAGTATCCCAGCCCTCGTGCAACCTTCGGGTGGCATGGCTCCTCTACGCATACTTCGGCAGCTGGGAACGACCTCGAGGTTTGTGGCTATTAATCGTGTCATTTGTTCCCACACTTCTAGTCGCGTCAGTGCCAACGGTGATCTATCCAAAAACTATTGGGGTTCGCCAGGGTTGTTCCCTCTCCACGTTTATGTTTAGTTTTGTCACTGACACCATCGTGGAGTGAGTCAGAATGCTGAATTCACATCTGGAAAAGGACTGGTTGGTATAGATTATCTCCATGACACTTCCGTTATTTGACCATCATTTGACCACAAATTACCATGAGTAGAATGTCGGAAATGGTCCCCTGTTACGGTGTGCCGTTTTCACCTTCAAAGTCCATGGTCTTAATAATATGTACCTTTTCAGTTATTACTTATCTCAGTAGCTCCATTAGCCATAGGTTATACGGCGGCGGATGAGTCCAATACACTCATCCTTAAGAAATGAGCGATATTCACCAACTTGCTTCACCTTTGGCGTAAGTGACGCATATCACTGCGGTTAAAGGACCGTGTCCACAAAATGACCGTGGAAGCAGTCGTATCATATAGTTGTGAAACCTGACCTCCCTAATCGGAATGTTCCCAACCTCCCCAAATGTTTGATCACCGATATATCTTTGGTATAAAACGCCTCAGGTGGCTGCAGCGTGTACTTAATGAAACAGTCCGTAAGCGAGTACTGGATACTGGGTCGGATGCTCTTGAGTATCATATACGGCTCATCAGGGTAAGATGGTTAGGTCATGCACCGCGCATGCCCGACCACTGTCTACCTAAGAAGTCCCGTTTTCTACTCAGAGGACAGGTCGTTGCGTAGTAGTGCGAAGGAAAAATGGCTGTTGTCAAATTAATGTTATCGGATATTGTCGCCTTCCTGAGTGGGGTCCGCGTGATCTTCTTTGCGCGTGGTTGGGAACCCTACGGGACGTGGCACGCAACCGATCCTAGTGGCGTGCTGGCTGGTATGTTTTATCCAAACCGCCTAGCTAATGCTTGTCCGTCGTTTTGTGATTGGATTGTGTTGGCTGGGGTTCTTGAAGGTTCACTTGATGGCGTCCTACCCGAGCATGATACTGGGGCGTGTTCATTTCAGTGGATTGGGAAGATTAACACCTCGCTCTCGGCGCTTCTCTAGGGATATAGATTTTTTTCGCAAGATCTCATTTCTTTCCTTTTCCACCTTTTACTAGGGGTTTATTCTTCCATGGTCTTTTGGCAGTTGAGCACCAGTTTCCACCATTGGTGTATTATCCATGATGACTGTGTGAGATTATCCTCTCCATGCATTGTGTTCTGTGGTTGCATAATCCTATCGACCTCCAACCTTCTCGGTGTCATACCTTATGAGACGAGAGGAGCCTAGGCGTAGCGTTCTTACGCATTTCTATCGATCCGATATGTCCGGATTGTGGCCCTGTTGTTACTGAATTGCATCTAGGTCTGTTCGAGCTTCCTTTGGTCCTTTCCCCAGTTCTCTTGAAGTGGACAGGGACTTTTCAGATATGTTTACCAAATCGGATTATCACACTGCGAAAAACTGGACCTCGCACAGGGTGGGATTTCTTCACTGTTCTGTCCTACTGGCACGGTAGTATGCATCTCCAACGAGTGCCTTCGTATGTAGCCCTGATAAGCATTTACATAGAGGCTGCTGAGGCGAGGGTCGAGTCGGTCGTGTGACTTCGCAACATGTGGTCTCCATAGCTGGGAGACACTTGTGCATGATCCAGTTATCGAGCCACCGGCTTGGGACGACTGTCGTATGTTCGTGAGGAACATGCAGTAGAATCATGGTGGGACCGGTTCCCTGAGAACGGAGGGCTTCATGACAGTCTATGGAAATGGATAGATGAAAAAAGCCGTGTATTGTTTGTGCTCATTGAGTTTTGCAATGTAACGAAAATCAAGCAGTTCGCTGGGGCTTCATTTTCATGGGCTATATTGCCTGGTACACGCGACATTTGGAACCCAGTGATATGCCTTTTTGACGCAGCGGGTGACTCATGTTAGCGAACATGATTCGGGTCTTTGAGATTTTTGCGCTGACTTCATTAGACGCTTCCTTCATGGCTACCATAACTACCTAGGAATGCGAAATTCTACACAACCTTTTTGACTTACAAGGGACACTGGTTGTAAGGCTCTGTTGGGCTGCTCAAATGGTACCTATCGACGTGTTAGGTTTGGACCTGAACCGGGGGCTCTTTTTCCATTCCATGGATCATCCCTTTATCACATCCATCCTCCCTCTGTTAACACCACCGCTGATGATTCCCTGAGAATCTGTTTTTTTAGAGGCTGCAATTGGTTGGTGCCTCAGAAACTCTGGAGCCTGATTATATATCCGTAATAATGGCACGTTCTCGTTTCTGCACAAATGTTGTTTGGGGCGCACAGTAAGTCAGTCTCCTCCACAGTGCCGGGGTAGTCATATACTGTCTGATGTTCATTCACAAAACTCGAGATGTATGGCAAAACAATCAGTGGTGTCAATCCCCGTAAAACCTAGCTTTTTTCGATGAAGTTACAGAAAAAATGTTGAAACTCGGGACCGTGTGCTTGTGTGACCGAGGAAACGTACCATCATCTATACTTTCGACTGGGTCTCCCACACTCGTCTCGACCTTTTTCCACCTTTTTTCGAAAGACGTCTATTTCAGAAAACACGACTCAGCTGATTTGCGAAACACAGAAGTGCCCTGTTTCATATCTATCGAAATGCAGTAAATATGGATTGTACATGTGCCAATTGAGATACCCAAATAGTCCGTTAGAGGATGAAGGTATGCTGCACGTTTGGACCCATTGGTTTTCTTTCACACAATACATCGGAATGCCTTACTAACCTCTCCGATTTCCTGTGTTCCACCTGTCTTTCTGTTCCCTAAAAGAGCTCCGCCGACTCTTTGCCGTTTATTGTCCACCCTCATATGGGTTGTTTGCGAAAGTTTGCACTTGCGGCATAGAGGACAAACTTGATGACCACATCCGTTCACCCAAGGCAGTCATCATCATCGTGATCGACAGCAAGACATCGGTGTGCAACAGTGATGCTTCGCTGCTGTACAATCATGAATCATTTGAGAGCCCTATTTTGAAGAAAAGAGCAAAGGTAGATAGATGAAGGATTTAGTGTTAGCGTACTAAGATACTCCCTCGTTGGTTTTATGAACCGCAGAAGCCTAAAGGAGCTACCACGCTGCTTGCACGGATCTGCTTAAGTTTTATTGTCATAGGAATTGGTGTCTCGTCCTTCCTTATTCACTTCTCCGGCAGTCATTCTTTCTCCTCATTTGTAGATTGTACGTGGAATCCTAGCAAACTCCGTCGGTCCCCTAATCGAGTGAAGTAATTGTGCGATAATTTCCATCGTTGGAATGATCCCATTCGATTGGCTGGATATTGTTGCTTCTAGCGTGGCAAACACCCTACAAACGGACATAATTGCAACGAGACTTTTGCTGTCCGTCCTACTCGGTTTGTTTTGTGCATCCACTTTAGTGATCATCACCCTAGGTTACCCGATTTCCATAGTGTATTCTTTACTTTCCGGAAAATGGTCTGTCCCGCAACGCCAGCTCTTTCTTCTCCTATGCGGAGTGTTTTTATTTAGTTGGAATTTCGGTAAGTTTTCGGATCTCGGTGAGTTTCATTTTGTCTCTACAGGTCTCGATATCATCCACATGTTTATTGGAATATTCGTCACTATGTTTGTCAACTACATGTGTTTCCGAACAAAGCTCAGCGTTATCTTCGCGTTTGTTTTCAACATGGTTGGTTGTCTCCTTTGATCCCCCTCCTTACATTGTTCCAGGCTTATTTACTTTCCGGATCCTATATCTACAATCGTGGAACTTACGACATCAACTGGACGACTCCGTACTGCATTTTATGTCTTCGATTGATTGGTCTTACTTGGGATCTTTTTGACGCATCAAAACCTGAGGTTTGTGTAGCGGCTTTACACCTAGTTTGACTCGGTTGAGTGATGTTGATCGTCCAAATATGGATGTATTTAGGGGGTATTTTGTTGGATACATGGGTTGAATGGGGAGACTGTACCTACTTTTGCATGGAACCCGGAAAAGTCCAACCAAGCCACCTAGAATGAATCCAACTGTATACATACGTTTGTCCTATGAAGTATGACTGTCTCATGGGAACGTGAAGGGAAACATCGTGGCCATAAATAACTTTCCTTCTTCCATTTCGTCCATGGGATTCTGTAGAGACCTCCTCAGGAATGAATGCTGAGCTCTGTGACGTTTACTAAGTTAATTGTAAACAATCCAAGAGAGCATGTGAGGCTCATCCAGTTACGAGACATAATACATTTCCTTAAACACCAAGCTCATTCAGACATTGCGTGTGAACCAAAAATAGGTATAGATCGATCGCGACTTACCTCCAAGGTCAATGCAAATGCCGATTTGCTCATCCACCGATTGCCGGTGGTCTTGGTAACAAAGTTTGACTAATGGATATTGAGTTATGAACTCACGGTTTAGTTACGTGTGTCCTAATTCTCTCTAACCCTTCCTCTGTCGACAGACACCATCTACCCTACCAGTGACTTCTAGTATGACTGACCTCACTAGCCGCAATAAAGACAGGATGAGTTAGAAAGACATATTTTTTTCAAAAGACTAAAATTCCGACTAGTCGTGTTTGCGAAGTAGGGTTAATACTAGAGTCCTAACTGTCCTTAAATGGCCACAGGTATTTTGACCGTCTTTCAATAGGGGGTCACCGTTCACCAACCTATGAATCTATTGTAAACTTTTCAGCAGGAGATTGTCCAGTAGAAAAATTCCAAAGTAAACATCGTAGAAGTTTGGCCCTGATACAACCGGTGAGGCTTCCAAATCGGAGCATGTGAAAATGCGCAAATGCAATATTTTCGTGGTATTCTTCAAAATGTAATGTATTTTTATGCCATGCAACACAAGGCTCCGAGGGTAATGCAATACGAGGCGATGACAGTCAGTCAGTGTTTGAATCAGGTTAGTTTGTCCCAAACCACGCGTGTACGGTAAGCTGATGGTAGGCACTTTGGGTATTTTTTCAGGCATTTATTCTCCGTCTGACAGAGGCTAGGTTTTTCTTGATGGCTTTGAGGTATGTGACGTACATGAATAATGTGAGGTCAGAGACGGTGAAATGGGTTAGGCTGCTATGGCCCAAGTGTTCTGTTTAGCATTGGCAACCTTTTTCAGGGATTACCATCACCTGAATACGTGCCGAATGCCGCGTCCGGTATGTGAGTCATCGTCAGTTTTATCTGTCCTGTTTGTAAGGTCAACTGATTTGATTGGTGCGTATGCAAGATGCGCTCATCAGCAGAGGCCACACCGTTGTTCAGGTCTCTGTCTGTCCGGTTCGGATGGGAGCAAGGAAATCTTTTGAATTCGAATAGAGGTTAATTCCTTGTGAACATCGACTAGAACGTGTGCATGGATTTCATGAGTTAGAATAACTGGTCCACGTTTAGTTTGTTTTTGATTCTATTGTGTCATTTGATCTCGCGAATGCACCAATCGAAATTATTATCACTGAGCCTAAACGATATGGGACTGAGTTCGTATCAGTTTGGCTGCCAAAAACAAAACAGCTCACAATGAATGAAACGTTAGAACTAAAGTGTGTTACTTCACATTCCTGTGTCCTGATTTCACGCACCCCGTGACTCCAAGAGATTGGGGGGGGGTCACACTGTTTGTCCCTTGTTTCGAAATCTCAACCGCCATTTCCCCAAAAGGATCTGAATGCGCATATTTACCCCAAAACCTCACAGATTTGGACTTCTCCCCGTTTTGATGAAACACTGCATATGGTGTGGGACGTCACGACAAACAGCTGATGTCTCTGACAAAAGTGTTACACCATTTCCCAACTCAGGATAACATGTTTGATGGTTTGTTCCTACCTAATTTCAGGCTAGCACTTGTTGCTTTGCCGACTTAGGACAAAGGAACTGGGAAATCGAACGGGGAAAATTATGACAACTCAATATTTTCCGAATTCCCCGTAATTACATGTACCTTTGCAGTTGCCGGGTACGCTGTCATCCTACAACTCTCTTTTTACTTTGGGTCTCTGCCTCCCGGTCCATGAGCACAAAATTCTTTTTTCTCTTGATGATATGGCAGCAAAGCATCAGTGTTGAACCCTGACGTCGTGCTGTCGATAATGATGATGATATCTCTCTGGTATACAAAGGACGGAAGCCAGAAGCCTTTCATGCACTTTTGCATATGCCAGTGAAGGTAAAAAGGTGGGGCTTATGCTTCTGACAGCTCTCTTCCTCTTCTGAATAAATTTACCTTGCCGCCATTCTCCTTTGGTGCATTCCATTCTTCCACTCTTCTTAGAAGGCTCAGGAACCGCTTGTGAAAACCAACATGACATCAGACTAGTAGCCGTAGCATCCAGGTGGCCTCCTGGCATTCTTTCGCGCATCTTGGATGATTGCTGGGCAGACAGATTTGTGAGAATCAATTGGGTTTTGAGCTCTCTGAGAACGCACTAACCATAGCTCGAACAGCGTCCGAAGATCGTCATTTTTCTCAATCTGAAGGCAGCTTTTGAATTTGTCGATCTTGAGAAACTCCGGCGGTGCCCGGCGCACCGTATACGAACTCCTGTTAACACTTACGGCTATACAGCAAGCTTTTCACAGCGGTGAGTACGCCCGTGTTTTTTCAGATCCTTCGAAGATGCTTCAAAGATCCTTCATTTTGCCGCGCGGTTTGGTACACACCTCACACGTTCGAAGTGGAAAGTGATACTACAAGATTGGGTGAGATAAAACTCAAATCTCATGCTTGCGACGAGCCACTTGGAATGATAGATGAATTTGCTTACCTGGGCTGTTGTATAAGTTCCAGTGGACTGACTGGAGACGAATTTACTTCTCGAATCCGGAAGGTTGGTAAGGCTTCTATCAACCTTCGAGACCTACGAGGTAGACTCGACGTCAGTTTTTTCGTACGCACTGCGACGGTACTTTATGCATCAAAACCGTGGCCTCCATGCGAAGGCTGCACGAAAGCTGTGAGTGTTTGACCGTCGATTTCTCCGAAGCGTTTATTGGGTCGATTGCGAACATCGGATTAATAATAATATTGAGGTACTCCAGATTGTTTAGGAAGAAGAAACGCCCCGCTTCTGGTGGTCTACTCACGCCTTCTAGATCACGTTGGTTAGGTCATGAATTCATATGTCACGGGACCGTCTTTTTGCCCAGACATGTACTGAACTGTCTATGAGATGGAAACGAAGTATGAAAACACTAGCCTGTAAACTTGGTCGAGTTGACAACTGCCGTCTCCCTGGATGCACATTCTGGAACAACTCATCAGTGGTTGTTGATCCTGGCAGACGTGGCTCAACCACGCAGTCAGTGACGCTCTTTCGTCAAATCGACTGTTCTCACTGTGTAGCTGTTCGGCTTTTCACTTCTTCAGACAGCCAGAATGATTCAGCCATAGTTAGCTGACTGTGTCATCGCCCCCAATGCTTGGCTATATCACCCTTGACAGAAACTGTGTTGGCTGGGGTCAGTGTACTCTTGGCAAATGGTTTATAGCTGGCACACTGAACAGAGTTAAACTGTGCGGTTCATCCTCCATTTTTGCAGACATGTTTTACGGCAAGATCGGCAGCGAATGATTTTCCGATTCGGAATTTTCAGGGCATGTGAATTCGTCGCATGACTTGAGAGCAAGTGTACATGTGATACTTTCATCACACCAAATGTTTACCACCTGCCTTCTATGGGGTATATGTTTCGGAAGCTACAACTTCCGTTTGTGATGATATTTCATCAAATATGCTCATTGTTTTGCACTCAACTGAATCCTCACCATACGTGCAGTTGTCCTCAAACCAGCTGATGATGACGGTCGATGTTACCACGTGATTGTCACGTGAATACAATGGATCACCTGCTCATTGTCCACTGAAATGAAGTTACAGAGCTGGTGTAATTGTCATAATGCGCAGACCATACTTTATGTAGTTTGAAAGATTTGCACAATGTGGATATCGCCTCTGTCTTTTCTGCATCAGTTGTGCTAAGACTTCTCTTCTAATGTGACATTGCTAATTTTGTCATATAAAGCTCAATGTTGACTAAAACCTTGATCCCACTTATTGATTAGTTTTGTGGTTTACAACTGGGCGCTTCTCTTTAGCACAATTCATGCTAATCACAGGCTAATCCGCAGCTCAATTTCTACGGATGCTTTCTTGAAGTTGTTTGACGGTTTTTCCTACTTTGTTCACGGTCTTTCCCACAATACCGCACAAAGTTAGATTTCTCTCCTCCGGCCGTTTCGTTTCTAGATCAAGATTTAGGATCATGCGCATTATAGCCAAACAACAATGTCAACGGAGCAACATCTCCACAAGTACCTATTATATACCAGGGTACTCGTAAGCGATTTTCACGCCAATATTTGACGAAACTAGATATTAGCTGCGCTCTGATTATCGCGAAGTCAAAAATGCATCCAGAAGTTCACAATATTCATCCGTCAATCATTTAGGACTGTGGAGACTCGAAACCAGACGTGGTTAGTTGTTTTTTGCTTGCCAGTTGATTAATTCAGCTAATTCGCGCCGCATTGAACAACGTTTTTTGTATCATTAGGAATGCCTGGTTGTTTGTTCCGTAGTACGCAAGTAATCATTCTATTCCAATCTATTCTCTTCCAGTTCTGTTCTATTCTGTTCTGTTCTCTTCTGTTCTATTCTATTGTACTCTATTCTATTCTATTCCTTGCATGTCTCTCACTGGACTTTCTTTGTTCATGTTGTATTATAGCTATAAAAACGGAATGGAGTTGTGTAGCAAGTAGGAGTAAAACATGTAGATGCGGTACTATATTCCCCTATCTGAGGGTCATCTTTGTAACGATTCCCTTCAGCAAGATCAGGTGAGCTTGTTTTCTCCCAGTCGTTAAAGAGGGGATGCATTTTACTTCTGGATATGTACTGAGTCAGCTTTTGCGAACAGAAGTCCCACCAACCTTCTACTTATTAACTGGATCACTTATTTTGTTGTAGTTGTTTGCTGACTTTGCAGAATTTACGTTCACATCACTCATTATTAGTCATCCTCCTGCACTGGACTTCAGTTTCGCTCTTACCAGAACTCATCAGTAGTGCATATGCTTGGCCGTGCCAGGGTTTGAGCTCCGGACACCGGACATGCAAGGCGAGCCTGTCACACACCAACGCACGCTGGACGCATCTGAATTTTCAAATCTGGACAGGCGAACTTGTTCACGCTTGAGCGATGCGATTAGGGGGTCTTTACAGGCGGTCGTCACACACAAAACAACATGTTCACCTGTTCAGACGTGAAAATTCAGATGCATCCGGCGTGTGCTGGTGGAGTCGTAACACGCTCAGCTGTCCGGAGTTCAAACCCCAGCAAAGCCAAGGATTGCACTGCTGATGAACTCCAATAAGATCGGAATTCAATTCCAGTTCCACCTCTGGTATGGACTGACCAGAATGATTTTGCCGGCACAGGAGGTCGACTGCTCAAACGAGAATGATGTGGACGTGAGTCACTCCTCATTGTTTGAGTGTACTTTCGATCTCCAATCCGATGCAGTGGCCTCTGCTAGGTGAGAAGGAGTCAGCTGGACCCTGAAAAACCGCATCCAGCTAGGTGACTCGGATTCCTCTACGTCTCTAGCTAGTGAAACCGATTTTCTGAGCTACCAGAAAAGAAGTAAATGCCAGTATTCCACTCATCTATTTCCGGTGGTTCTCAGGTCTAATTCTGTTTATCGTTTGAACTTTTCAATTTGACATTTGAATGTCCCCTAACGCTACACATCTAGCTACATATAATTGTAAACAAAATTTCAATATGCACACAAATTTCTATGATTTTTCTACCAGTCTGAACGATCCGCCTACCAAAAACAGTCAGCTTTACAAACATTCCCGGGCGTGCTGGAAACCTTGTCTTTCTGTTTCGTACCAACTGCTTTCATCAGCGGACCCCAGGTACGTTCATCACTTCATATATTGACTTACTAATACAGTTAATGCTTGTTTCTGTCAAGTAACATCCAATCAGAGGGACCAAGTCCGTTGAGTCCACTAAATCTAGTCGAAAGTTGCAATGAAACAGGATCTCGGTCTTGTTGGACAATTTATGTAGCCATGTGGTTGCACAGTTCCACCGGTCGGAATTTATCCCCTCACGTTTATACTGCATCGGTAGAACAACGTATTCATGGAGTATACTGTTCAACAGGACAGGGGTTAACTCGTGTGTAAGGTTTCAGACACATCACCCGTAATACATCAACTAGGGTATGCATCAGGACCGCGCCTCTTTTTTGAGGACAACTCTACAAACAAGGCAGCGGCGTAGTTCGCATCGCTATGACTGGTTGAGTTGGATTGCACATTCATGGGAGGAATTCTGTTTTTCAAGTTCGGTGGTACTTTGCTGTGCTCTCAACTGGACACCGAAATCGTTGTATCTACCTGAGTGCAACACAAAAGGTTTAGTAGTGACACATCAACGCGTGTGGAACCCTTGTTGGCACGGGGTTTCAAATAATTTAGCGGGACTCGCTTTTGCAAATTGGATCCTCGTCACCGTTTTTGAATGGAGAGCCTGTGGGATATACCGGGGCATATTTACTTATTACGCGCAAATACGGGAAACATAGCAAGGGACGGTTCAAAATTAGAAACCCGAGTACAAAGCAGTAACATCTCTTGGGTGGTCTGTTGAAATGCCTGTTAACACGACCTTTGAATTCTTGGAGATTGCAGTAAGATGGGAAAACAGAACTGACGAGAAATTGAGAAAGGAAGAAGGAAACGAAACTATCAGTTCAGTAGTAGATGAGAGTGACTTGGTGAGGTTGGTGTGAATGACGACGTGGGCTGATTGTGTGGTGGAGATTGTGGGGGAGCGGCTGTTGGACAGCATCACAGAAGAGCATGGTAGTACAAGAGCTGAGATAGCTCAGTGGTTAGGGCGTGAACTTATTGACTGCAAGGTCCGAAGTTCAAACCCAACCTCAGCTGATTCTTTCTAGGCTTAAGCAACCTAACAGTATATGGACAGCATCAAGAGCATGGTAGTACAAGAGCTGAGATAGCTCAGTGGTTAGGGCGTGAACTTATTGACTGCAAGGTCCGAAGTTCAAACAAACCCTCAGCTGATTCTTTCTAGGCTTAAGCAACCTAACAGTATATCAGACCTCGTGCTTCCGTCGGGTGGCATGGCAGCTAGACACCGCAAGAGTGTTACGAGTGAACGATTATTATTATTATTATTATTATTATTATTATTATTATTAGGCTGTTTTCACATCCCATCCGTGATCTGGGTTTACTGTTTGTATGGTACGATGAGTCAAACGTGTACCGTTAAGATGAACGACGATCGGGTAGACAGGTCCACATTTTTCAATACAAGTGATACATGCTTTAGTTGCACGTCCTGTTGGTTGTATAGAAATTTTGAACATTCATTGCAGGCTACTAGTTACTTTTTTTATCTGGTGCTCCGAAGAAATCACCATAAGTGAGGGAGAAGGCAGTTGTGGTGGAGATAAGTGTCGAACTAGCTGAGGGTTGGACTTACTGAGCCGGAAACTATTACGAAACAGCTTGTCACGCGGCGCTGTCGTGAGTGTTTTCAACCGAATGACTAAATTTTCAAGTTAAAGCGCACATAGCATCTGGAAGTCC